TGCAGAATATGTGTTAGTCTAGTAGCACTGGAGGCGCAGGGCCAGGTCCCTTCTTTCTAGACCCCCCAAACTTAGCAGAGTAATATGAAAACTGTGATCACTGTTTAATTGCGCATTTTCTTTCCCCACAGCCAACCCTTGCTGCTCGAACCCCTGCCAGAACAGAGGGGTGTGCATGACGACGGGGTTCGACCGCTACGAGTGCGACTGCACGAGGACGGGATTTTACGGGGAAAACTGCACAACACGTAAGTAGCCCACACGTGCTCCCTGGAAGCACCTCGCAAGCCTAGAACCGAAACGCGACGTTTGCTTTACTGTTGTGGCTAACTTGACCCCATCTTCCCGTCCCCAGCGGAGCTCCTCACGTGGCTGAAGCTGACACTGAAGCCTACACCAAACACCGTCCACTACATCCTCACGCACTTCAAGGGGCTCTGGAATATCATCAACAACATCCCCTTCCTACGAGACACCATCATGCGATACGTGCTAACATGTAAGTACGGGGTCTCGTTCCAGCACCTGGCACTGGCAGCAGTTCCTCACAGGACTGAAGCCTAATACTTAGCTTAAATGTAAAGCAGCAAGTTTACACGCACGCCAAAAACGTGAGGCTTGCTTGAACTGTCCCTAGCGCCACAAGCCTGCAGGAAACTTGCTCCAACTGGGAACGCCTTTGGCTCTCTTGATCCAGGATTTTATTAACATTAATATCAGAAATCTATCGAAGTCATAGTTGGATGCCTGACAATTCTGGTCCTCTGTGTTATCCAGTAATTTGATTTCAGTAATTGATAAGCAATTAGTGTCAGTAATTGCTGTGAAATGTTAAGATTTCTAAATCTGCTAAAATAAGTCTTTTAAAAAAGACTTTTTTCACTTCAAGATGAAAATGCATAGTTGTAAAATAAACAATTTTTTTTCTCTTCCAGCAAGATCACATTTGATTGATAGCCCCCCAACTTACAATAGTGACTATAACTACAAAAGCTGGGAAGCATATTCCAATCTCTCCTATTACACAAGGAGCCTGCCACCAGTGGGACTTGACTGCCCAACACCAATGGGTGTTAAAGGTAAGGAGAACAACAGATGTCTAGGGTTTATTGCTAGGACTCTCTTTGCCTTGAAAGTCTTCTAAGAGGCCTGAACACTGCTCTTCTCACCAAAATCAAGCACACTGTAGAACAGTTATCTGCTGGACCTCTGGTGTGACAATCTAAAAGATAATTGCTCCAATTTTATTATTGAGCTACATCATAAAACCAGATCAATTTGGAGACTTAAAATAAAATCAAGACAGTGAGCATAGAAAAGTATGCGACTATAACCTATGAAAAAGTTACTTTTTTCAAATGATATAACTGAGTACAGCAACAGCCAAATAACTTGGTGCATTCTCTCTCTCTTTTTGTAGGGAAGAAAGAGCTCCCAGATTCAAAGCTGATTGTGGAGAAATTTTTGCTGCGGAGGAAGTTTATTCCTGACCCCCAAGGCACAAACGTGATGTTCACATTCTTCGCTCAGCACTTCACTCATCAGTTCTTTAAGACAGATCACACGAAAGGACCTGGCTTCACGAAAGCTCTTGGCCATGGGGTAAGATCACAGCACTAACTTGAGCAGAGCACTTAGCAGCCACCAGACTAAAATAGCATCTTACAGGTAGTCAGGATGCACAAGCACCAGCTCGTGCACTGTGCAACATCAGGCAAAATTCCAGCATCTCAACAGCATCCCTTACTGGGCAGAGCTACACATGCAAAGCACAAATCATTCTGCTTAAACTCTCCATAAACAGACTGTACAGATTTTTTTTCCAAAGCTTGCTTTAACATAAAGCATGTGGCATTTGATTAATATCCAGACCTACTTGATTGGACTCCTGTCCATTGCAAAAGCTGTATGTAGCGCTATAAAAGATCCTGTCATACATTGCTAATTGAAGAGACTTAACTCAAAAACTGCAGTAGCAGCAAACACTAATTTAAGAGATTATCTCCAAAGCAGACAGTCTTTGTTCAAAGACTTTCTTCAATGCACATGTAGTGTGTGTATATATACTGCATATGTCTGTCTGCATTAGACAGATGTCTACACAATAAAAGCCGCTGACTTTTTTTTTTTAAGAAATTCTTTAAAATCAACTGGCAACTCAAACTCACCAGCATGGAGAATTTGCTCCAGTTTCTAAGAAACAATTTGGCTTCATCAATGCATGATTCTTATTAATTATATTAAATGATAGACACCTTATATTGGACACCTAAGGCTTCCAGCCTGGCAGACTTATCTTAAAATAATCAAATAACGTAGCTTGTCTTCATTTTCCAAATACTTTTGTTTTATAGGTTGACCTGAACCATATTTACGGAGAGACTCTAGAGAGACAACTTAAATTGAGACTTCTTAAGGATGGAAAACTAAAATACCAGGTATGTAGGGGTGTTTGAATTTTTTTGCGGGGGGAGAAGGGAAACTTTAAAATTCCTCCCTTCCTATTGGATGACAATATTACATTGTGCTCACAATATAATTAATCTTTAAATATAATCCAGAAGTTAGGCAAAGTACTGACAGACTTAATACGATTTAACTCGTGCATCACAGCTAATGACTCCTTGTTCTCCTCTCTGCTTGCCTCCCACCTCAGATGATTGATGGGGAAATGTACCCACCCACAGTGAAGGACACGCAGGCAGAAATGCTGTACCCTCCTCATGTTCCTGAGCACTTGCAGTTCTCCGTCGGGCAGGAGGTGTTTGGTTTGGTGCCAGGTTTAATGATGTATGCTACAATATGGCTCAGAGAACACAATCGAGTCTGCGATATCCTGAAACGGGAGCATCCCGAGTGGGATGACGAGCGCCTCTTCCAGACTACCAGGCTCATATTGATAGGTGAGTGTCTCTCCCAGCATGTAAACTTGTGTGTCCTCTCACGTGTGACACTGCCACCCAGGGGCAGCCCCAATAGACCTAGTAAGAGAAGAAACATCCTTAAATCCATGTCTGAGGGCAAACGTCTGAGGTTTTCATAACCTGTGCCTGGACTGTGATTAAGATAGTTTGCTCCTGCTACATACAAAACTGAAGAAAATCAAGTTAACTGACAGTAATTCCCTTATCTAAAGGAAACAGGACTGAAAACAAGGAAACACCAGGAAGCTAAGGCTTAGTTTTCAGGCAGAAAGCATGTGAGGCCATATAACCTCAGTTGCTCCCAAGTTGTCAGGTCTTGTTCTTTCTGGGGTTGGGTCAGTTCAGGTAGAGTTTAAGAGAAAGACTGTGATTAAATCTTGGCGTCCAGGAAGTTATGTAAAAGAACTCTTCACACTGCTTTTGTACAACTGTGTCCAGGGGTATTTCATATAATGTTGATGCACATTAATTTAGGAAAGAGCTTTGTCCAAACTGTGCCTGAAACAGTAAATCAGGGAAAGGCAATTGTGTTAAGCTGTTGAGAAGCTGAAGTCTGCTTTAGATACCAACGCTTTCCATCTATAGCCTACCGGCACCTTAGATTCTCCTGTGCAACTGAAGATGGTGGAGATACACTTCCACATAAGTTAAAATACACATCGGTATCTCTGGAGGAAAAGCTACAGCAAGCATACTCCCCTACCACAGACCAATCCTTTCTGTGACTCACTTTCTCTAAGAGATAACAAATATCCCTGAATATTCAGTAAATCTTTTTTTAGAACAGCATAGAAATGGTATTTCCCCTCAGAGCAGAGTAACCACCTGGAACTTCTCTGGGAAATAGTACTAATATTCTCTTCCACTTCACGTAATCAACAGGAGAAACCATCAAGATTGTTATTGAAGACTATGTACAACACCTGAGTGGCTACCACTTTAAACTGAAGTTTGATCCCGAGCTGTTGTTCAACCAGCGCTTTCAGTACCAGAACCGCATTGCAGCTGAATTCAACACTCTGTACCACTGGCACCCACTTCTGCCAGACACCTTCCAGATACATGACCAGGAATACACTTTCCAGCAGTTCCTCTACAACAACTCCATAATGCTGGAACATGGCCTTTCCCATATGGTGAAGTCTTTCTCTAAGCAGAGTGCTGGCCGGGTAAGTTTAAGTTATTCATGTCTCAGCAGAAATGTAAAATAAAGCTATCCAAAGCTAATAGGACTATGTAAACACACAAATTCCTCAAGACTTCTATCTGGAGGTCTTACCTTCCTTTTGCCTTTTTTAAATAGGTTGCTGGGGGAAAAAATGTTCCTGCTGCAGTACAGAAGGTAGCAAAAGCTTCAATAGACCAAAGCAGACAAATGAGATACCAGTCCTTGAACGAGTACAGAAAGCGCTTCATGTTGAAACCATTTAAATCATTTGAAGAACTTACAGGTAATAATTCTTAGCCTTGCTACCAAACAGATGCCCTTGCCTTAAAAAGGGTGCACAAAAGCCTGCAGCATGACTTGTGAACTGCTACAAGACAGTGCTGTGAGGAAAATAAGCTTACTTTATTTTTACTCACCAATTACAGGAGAAAAAGAAATGGCAGCAGAACTGGAGGAGCTTTATGGAGATATTGACGCTATGGAGCTGTATCCAGGCCTCCTGGTAGAGAAGCCTCGACCAGGCGCCATCTTTGGCGAAACGATGGTGGAAATCGGAGCGCCGTTCTCCCTGAAGGGACTGATGGGCAATGCTATCTGCTCCCCCGAGTACTGGAAACCCAGCACTTTTGGGGGAAAAGTGGGCTTTGAAATAATCAATACAGCCTCCCTGCAGAAGCTCATCTGCCACAACGTGAAAGGCTGCCCCTTCACAGCGTTCCACGTCCTAAACCCCGACCCCACAGAGGCAACCATTAACGTCAGCACTTCAAACACGGCCATGGAAGATATCAACCCCACACTACTACTGAAAGAGCGATCAGCTGAGTTATAAAATATCCACCTATTTATTTATTTAATTATATAACTTATTGTATTTATGTCTTAACTATTATTACTATTTTTTAAAAGAACTCATGTGTCTTCACTTTGGAGTTTGCCCTAGATTTCTTACTCAGGTAAGGCTTCCATTTACAAAAGGGATTTTTGTATGTCTGAGCTCAACAGTACCAAATCCCTTGTTAAAATTCTTCTGTAACAGAACTATGTATGCCAAAGTGGACAGAAGTTCCTTTTTATATACATATATATATACTGCTTTCTTACTTGACAAAAAGGGCATTTGTTTGTTGTGCTTTCACTGGATAGGTGACAACACTACACAAGCAAGTTATTGCCTCAGCCTTGAGAAGAGGCTGGCAAACTAAAAGGACTCAAGTTACTGCAGTTGATAATCTTTAGCGGTTTTCATTATTGGCAATTAAGATGAATGTAATGATTTATATGTACTTTTTAATGCAAACTCAGAAAGTAAGTTGCATTTCCTCATGAATACTACCTCTCCCTCGTTGCAGATAAGGCACTATGTACAGTAACTTATCGTGTGTGTGTGGGTGTGCGTGCGTACGTCTGCTTGCCCGGGGCATTACTTTTTTAATTATTATTTAAAGAGAATAGAATTCATCATTCATCCTAATCTTGTGCCATGTACTTCAAAGCCATGAGTGTTGTTTGTGCTAGAGATGCTCCTGCTGGTTCTGAGGTGGAAATTACTGATCCTCAGCTGGCTTCTGTTTTCATAGAGATATTTTATTTTGCAAGTCGGGGGAGCTCTTAAACTTGGGAGTCCAAAGTATTACTGTGTTTTCCATAGCTGTAATTCTCTGGGCTACTTGATACTATATCTTTTATCTTCGTCACTTTAAGGACCAGTGGACAGTACTTCTAGTTAAGGAGGTGACTTATTTGGTCACTCGCTATTTAGAAGTTAGTTATCTAACTAACTGCTGTGTGTATCACAAAAATATCATTGAAATCATTGAGATTACAAAAACTGGGAAGCTGTGTAAGCATCCTCCAGCAAAAATGAATCCTGGACTGATCTGACAATTGCATAGCAGCAAGACTCAAGTTAGTTTAAGGCTATGTTCAGAAGCCATAGTCATGCCTTAGCTTTATTTATGAGGGGTAGGAAGGGGAATAAGATATTGTTTGTAACTTATAAATATATTGTATTTTAAACATTTTTCTAACTGGCTTTTTAAAAAAATATTAAGAGATTCTAGACACATTTGTCCTGATCCAGCACTGAAATCTGTAGCTTTACCTGGGCACATAACTTTTTTTTTTAAGCAAAACTTCAAAACTTGCAGGGAAGGGTGCTTGGGCCTTTAACTTCTGGAGGGAAAATGCAGAAGAATTTCCCCTAAAAACAGCTAAGGAACTGCAGCTAAGAAAAAGAATGTCACCCCAGACTGAAGTGGAGAGGCAACACAGTATTTTGTGCCAAGAAAGTTCATGAGCACTTGCAAAAAGCAGTTTAAGCTCATGCTACATTTGGGTTTCTCCAGCCTCTGAGTCTTGGTACTGCATAAGGACTGTGGTACAAGTATGGTTTGACTGTGGCTTCTGTTTCCTTGTCAGTTTGTTTAAAGGCATCAACTACCTTCTGCAGTGCAAGTTTGTAATCTTCACTGCAAATAACTGAATTAACATGTCCTACAATAATCAACAGGAGTGTCTGATTGGAGATGGTATTCCAGATACTTAATTTGGGCATAAGAGGGGTATTTACTTTAGTTTTTTATTTAAGGCATTAAGATAACAAGTTTCAGTCACTTTCTGCTTAAAAGTGGTTAGCACTGTAATGTTAGTAAATGGAAATTGTTTGGGGATTTAACAGAGGACAGTATTTAACAGAGGACTGTTAAATACTTTGCTGTCACGTTGTCTTTGGAACACACTTCTGCAGAGCAGCCTTTCACCAGTACCTAAGAAAACTGTTTGCCTTAAACTAAAAAGGAGACAACTTTAGACAGAGGAGTTATTTTGGGGAGATAAAAATAAACTAACAAGGTTTAAGAACCTGTTGCTTCAGAATAATCTGCCTCAAGAAATGAATCCTGTTTGTTTTGCGTTTTGTACTTTACAACCACGTTTTAGCAGTCTTATCTGCACTTACCTGTTTCTAAACCTGCTGGGTTAGGCTGGATTCAAGATGCTTGTGATAAATGTGTATGTCTGAGATTATTTATTTAAAATTGTGTGGAATTGTGTTTTTCCCACTATTTTTGTAGAACAAGTGTTTTTAAAATGGAATTGTTTATATAAATAAATTGAAAAACATTATCTGAATGGACTCTGGTGATTATTTTAGAGACTTACTTCACTACTATTTAATATGAAACAACTCTATTTTCCCCTCAAGTTTAAAAGTAGAAAACTTAATACCTTAGGCTGCAGAAAACCTATGGCCTAGAATTTAAGAATAGCTTATAGGTTACCACTATGTTTAAGAGAAGAAAGGGAGAGGTACTAAAAGGATTTTTTTTTTCTGTGTATATAAACTGCATAGGGCTTCACAAGCAGCCAGCACAATCACCTACCATCCAGCTTGGTAGACAGACAGCAAAAAAATGTATGAGATCATGGGTGAAGAGTCTTGGAAAAAAAAAAAAAAAAAAAAGACACACACACACAACTTTCTGCACGCAATTTGCACATGAAAAAGAGCTCTTGGGGCAGAACTAGGCTCTCAAGTCATGGACCAAGTGCTAACAGAGAGAAGGCGCAGTCCTGTAATTCTCTCCCATGCTTAAAGGGATTTCTTCTTCCCATACTATTGGCAGAAGAACAAAATACTGAAGCCACTGGACACGCAGATGGTGGTTTAGTGCCTACATGCCCACACCAATCTGGGGACAGTCTTCTCAGCACACACTACTCTCTGCAGTAGACAAGCAGCCACCCAGCCTGCCTCCTGCCTCTCAAGGAGGCATTGCCTCTAACAAAACCATCCTAAGATGACTGTTTTCCTCTTCTGTCATCACTGAGGAGAAACTGCAGCTTATGGAAGTCCTGGAGAAGCCTCTTACACCATGTTCACCACAGAAAAGACACTAACAGTGCTACTCTGTCGCATACCCAGCACTGCTTTGGAGGAGAGGCATGGTACTAGAGCCGCATCCGGCTGAGTACATGAACCTCCCTGTGCTGCTAGTGAGGGGTAAGACCCATACAAAGAAGAGCATTTCATGAGCACCTCCTGTTAAACAGGAGAGGAAGAAAAACAGTACTATAGCACACAGTTAACTGTAGCACATGATCATAGAATCATTAACGGTTGGAAAAGACCATCAGGAGTGAGTCCAATCATAAGTCCATCACCACCATGCCTGCTAAACCATGTCCCTAAGTGCCTCATCTACCCATTTCTTGAACACTGCCAAGATGATGACTCCACCACTTCCCCAGGCAGCCTGTTCCAGTGTTGACTACTCTTTCTGTGAAGTTCTTCCTAATGTCTAACCTGAACCTCCCTGGTGCAACTTGAGGCTATTTCCTCTTGTCCTATCAGCAGTTATTTTGGAGAAGAGGCTGATGCCCACCTCACTACAACCTCCTTTCAGGTAGTTGTAGGGCATGAGGTCTCCCCTGAGCCTCTTCCCACTACACACCATCTAACCTCTTTTCAGCTGTGGTAGCTGCACAACAAGCCCCTTCTCAGAGGGATCAGATCAAACCACCTGTGACAGACACATCTTTGCTGCTGCCATTAACTGTTTGCCCTCTCTCCGCATCAAGGTCCAGTTGCCCAGACTGCTGAGGAGGCCACAGGCAAGAGTAGATGCCAGTTCCTCTCACTGTCGATTAACTATACAGTTCCTCTATCTTCTTAAGATATGTAGGCACCTAAAACCCTCCAGTGACCCTCCTCAACTTAAAAAAGTCTCCTAGTCACCTCAGAGGGTATCTTCACCCCCCAAACCATGACACCTCAAGAGACTCCCAGCAACATCACCCTGGTCACCTGCACCTGCTCCAGGTGGCACTCAGGCTCACCCTGCCAAGAAAGGCATGCACAGATCTTGCATGAGTAACACAGTCGTTCTTTTTTTAATAGCAAGCCAACTCATTCTCAGTATGATTTAATTCACTTCTGACACAATTCTTACGGCCTTCTGCTTGCAGGCGAGGAAGGAGCAACCCGCCTGCCCAGGGTTACGATGCTCCTGCCAGCTTGCTCAAGCAAAGGCAGCTACGACAAAGTCGAAGAGCTGCTGCTCGAGCTGGTAACCGTGCAATCGCTCTAACACATCTGTTTGCGGCCGGCAAGAACCAGGTGCTCGGCAAGAAGGAAATAAAGCCAAAGCCACCAGCATTCCCCCCCACCCTTTTTTTTTTTTTTTTTTTTAAAAAAAAGAATACTATTCATATCAGTACAACAACAAAAAGGCATTTAAACCATGCCAAATGTTCCAGATTTTTAGTCTAGACATCTGGGGACATGGGCGGGGAGGGGGAAGGACAAAAAAAAACCCAACACCTATTGCAGGTCTTCCCAAGACAAAAACATTCCATTTGGCTCAAAGAGACCACACCAACTACTCTCCAAGATCTAGACAGGAGGGAATGGGGAGGTTAGGAACAGCCCAGTGCCCCTACAGACATGGTCACAAATAAGACGGCTACGGCAGCCACGCACCACATAGGGAAGGGAGGGGAGAGCAGCTGTTCCTCTCATGAAACAGAGAAAGACACCAAGGACAGTGGTTTCCACAGCCCTGCTCTGAGGGAAGGGTTGAGGCTGCCACAATCACCCCCATGGCAGGGAAGCCTATGAGGAGCAGCAAGGGGAATGTGAGGAAAAGGTCAGCCATGGAGAAGCATTTCTGGTGACTGCTGCCCTACATAGGGAACAGCCAGGTCGGGATGGATTCGGCACACGAGGGATGAGCGCTCTCAGGCAAGGAAGAGCTCCTCCTTCCCTCTGAGCGGGGGCACGTCCTGATGATACAAGAGGCAAGAATGTTCCTCGGAGGAAACCTGCCCTGTGAAGTGTTTGTTCTCAGCACTGGGCTGAGGTAACTGTTTCACCCAAGGCGATGCAGAAGAGGGGAGAGGAAGGAGGGGGGACACATTTAAGCCACACATGGGGAGGTGGTTTTGTCAGTGTTTGCAGGAAGCTCTCGAACAGCTTTTACGAGCAGGTCACCGCACACCATCACCTTTAGCGAAGGCTCTGGCCGCACGTCACTCGCTCCTTGCCTGCTGCCCAAGAGGTCTT